CGCTTCAAAATTCGAATGCACATGCCCGTGCTACAAGCCACTGTATGGTATGATCTCTTCACACAGGGGTTCGTCTTTGAACTGGGCACGTCTTAAGGAACTAGAAGCTTCGCAGCTTGGACTCCAACAGAAACGGTCAGAGAGTGTTAATCTTGTGTGGTAGCATGAGTGTAATCTGCATTCGGTGTTTGGCTCTGGCCTCATCACTTTACAGCGCGGCTTCAGGGTGTGAAAAGCAAAGCCAGCATTCTGCCCAGGGTCGTCGGATCTCACGCCTTTGCTTGAGCCGACCCTCATTCATTGCTCGGAGCTCCCACCTTTGCAGCAAGATCTTGTTTGGCACATGCTTCTGGTTGACACCTGGCGGAGGCTTCACAGCTTTTTTGTGTTATCCTAAAGCTTCATATCATATCGCAGTACGCAAGCGTTGCTTCAATATCCCCTTATTGCTTGCACATGTGCATATGAGGAAGTACTTGTACCGAATGCCAGGCTGCATGGATCCCCTTCTGTACCGACCAAGGATCTTGTGATGGAGCATAAGACTCAAGTTCGACGCTTTCTTACACCAACAGGCATCAGACGATCAACTGCAATAATGTAAGGCAAGGCACACAGTCGCGGAGATCTTGAATACTGCAACGCCAAGAACCAAAAGGCAAACGATGGTGTTTCCAATGTCAAAAAGCCTCCTTGGTAAGTTCTCGCTTCAACTCTTGGGATTTAGGATGCGCTCAGCACATGGCCGCCATCATGTTGTGCGCATCGACTCTGTGCACGAGGCTGCGAGAACGTAACCGTCCATCAGCCCAAGGGCTTTGCAAAATCCACTTCCAGCATGGGAAGCAAACACCCAACACAAGCCTTCTAGCTTTCGAAACAAGCAAAGCTGAACACGCTGAAGTCTTCGCCCGAGCATCTCGAATGGACTGTCGGGTGAAAGGGTTGGTGGCGGCATTGGCCACATTACCTGGCGCGTGTCGGGCTAGGACGCAGTACCTAGACCAAGACGCCTGCAACTCCACTCACCTCACACACCGGCTGATTCAGAGGCGTCAAAAAGCAGTGCCAGCAGGAAGTCATTTACAACCCATGCTTCTGAACTCTGAAAGCAGTCAGGAAAAACGATCCGGAAGCCTTGAACATGAAGAGTTGCAAATTAAGGCATTGGCATGTGCCCGACCCTGGTGATGCTTGCAAGTAGTTGCGATGTTTCACGATTATGATTACAGTATAGGCTGTGTGACAGTGATGGCCGTCATGTCCTGCGCATTCTGATGTCCCTGATCTTGGGATCTTGGGATATATGTGGAATACCCAAATGTTTTGGAGCTCCCTCAGAAGCAGGGAGGAGTTGCTCGGCGGAATGCCATGACGTATTGCGAGGTGGCAGGCAGCGCCCTTGGCTTTCGGAACATTGGCTTGTATGTTCGAGAAGGGTAGACGCATTCCTGCACTTTACACAGGCCGAGACAGAAAGTTCTTTTGAGCTAAGGTTTCCACACTACCGTTTGGGTTGGCAGGGAAGCACTTTCTTGGGAGAACAGGCTTTTTGCAACACAACCTGCACTGTTGGGATTCTAAAAGGCTGGTAGCAACCTGCCTTGTTCCAGATAGAGTAGCCGAGTTGGGAACAACGTTCTTAGTCTGAATGCAAGCCTCCAGAACCCTCCCTCTGCTTTTGAAGTTCAGGAGCCGTTTAAGGTGTTCCGAGGGTGCTCAGAACTTCACCCCGTTGAGAATTGATTCCGTCAGCCAGAGCTGACATAAACCGCTAGTACGCCAGGCGAACCAGGCTGCTCTGCGCCCTCCAAGCTGACCCAGCTGGTTGTTCCGTCAACAGCCTGAAAGGCAAGTTGAGGCCGTTTCAACTTCATGCTGCAGCCCCTGAACCGTAGGCAGTAAAGAATTAATCATGGCCCGAGTACTTAAACATCTTCCGATGGCTCAGGCTTTCATGTTGTCTGCTTTGGTGACAGTCTGTGACATGCTGCAATCCTGTGGAAACGACTGACATCCCAAAACTCTACTTCGAGCAGACGGATTCTGCACCCGATTCCTCTCAGTAGTACTATTCTTCCGTCTGTGCTTCTTTTTTCCTCATCTTCTCCGTCTTCCTTTATACTTCTGCTTACCCCCCTCATCAAGTCAAGCTGCCAGACTCCTGCCCAGCCAAAACCACAGGCAGGCAAGCACGTGGTTCAGCAGACCGATGGCCTCAGCTGCTAGATGATCACATCCAATAGGATGTGACGCTGCAGGCTGAGATGTTGCTTCTGGGTTTCCCGACGTACAAGCTTGTCAGTGTTCCAGCAGCTACTTGTATCCCCGGGCATGCGCGGCCTTCCTTCAAAAGTCTCCGGCTCTATCGCAAAAAAAATCCAAGACTTTGGTGTAAAATAGGACACCCTGACCGAAGATCCTCCCACACAGAGACTCCCCCTAAAATCAGGAATCCACGTTTTGGACTGGAGCTTTCTTGCAGTACACATGTGCCTAAACCCTGCTCCTGATTAACAAGAGCGGCCCCCCTCCCCTAGATTAATAGAACGGCCTTATTGTTCTAGGGCACTGGAATTCAATTGAAATCAATATAGATGTAATCAAATCCATTCAAATCTGATTGGACCACAACTAAAATCAATATGCCTCCATTACATCCATTGAACTCTCATTACCATGGCGAGGACATATTCTATTATGCTGGAGTGTTTTTGTATTAATCCATGCAGCAGCGGGTTAGCTCAGGAAGCAATGTTTGGCCCTGAAATTCCGAATAAAGTTTAGTAAGCAAGTCCTGTTTGCGGCCCTCTCTGAATTCTAAAGTTAGTATGTCCCTACTACTGCTTTCCTAGAACTACAGAACAGGTTTGAGGTTTGATGAGGGTATAAGGCCCCAGATTTAGGTTGTAAGTTGAAGTTCTAGAGCCTAAAACTTACCTGGAGCCTGGATTTCTTAGGGTTTGGGAATAGTTGTCTTTAAATGTAGTGTTTTTTGGCCCAAAGCATGCGTCGGCCTTTAAAGTAATCTTTGACCACCAAATTTGGCCCAAGAAAATTTTGTTGAATCCAGGGGGTGTTATTAATCAGGAGCATGGATTATGTGCTGAGAGCATGCCAGACTTGGAACGATGACATCCAAATCTATGAAGCTTGACTGAACCCTCTTCCTCAAGAGTGGCATGCAATAGGCCAACAAGCCCCAAAACGGAAAACATGGCAAACAGCTCAGGGTTGGGGTCTGCAATATTGTCCAAGCAGCAAATGTGGAGTTTGCAATCGCCACGCATATCATGATCCACTGCCGCCCAGTCGAGGCAGCGTACTCCTTTGCTTACACAATTCCGCAAGTGGCTTGCGCTACAGCAGTGCAACAGCCTGCATGTGTGGTATGCGCTGTCATCAAGCCTTGAGCTGGGCGTGCTAACGTTCAGCTTCACAACCACAGGGGAGCTGACAATTAAACAGCGATGTGAGCTGTCAATCTGACATCCCTCATGGCTTGCTCCACAACACACAGTCTGTGGGTCCGTGAGCATGGAATCAGTCAACCAAGCCAGACTTCCGAAAGCTGTGCAACCCAGCAGCTTGGATGAAACCTTCGACTTTTGCGAGCTTGAGCAGCCTCATTATTTGGAGATATTTGGATTACTGCGTGCGCAGAAAGCTAATTCAGCAAGCGGCAAAGCTTAAACTAGTCCAGCTAGGACCTAGGCCCAAAGTGCTTAAGGTCCTTGTCTCAGAATGTTCCAGCTCCCGGCAGCAAGCCAAGCAGGCTGTACCCAACTGTCATCGCTCCATGTTGTGAGCTAAGTCATGACTTCTTGCCGCAACTCGCAAACATGTTGCATATGTTGCCTCACTTCCTCCAGGGGGCCGCAGTAAGCGAAGAATGCGGATGATGCGCACAAAGCGGCCGAAGCTGAGATCTGCAAGTGATCCTTGGTCGGTTCGTGATGTTGGTCCCAAGACATGTTCCAGGAACTCTGAGCAAACCTAAAGCCATGTCTGGAAATCCAGGGCAGGATGCTCAAGGGCATGGGACCGGATGTCAGGGCCCGTCTGGCGTGAAACACATCTGGCAAGTTTTCCGCAGGGTGATAAGCTGCAGAGGGCTCCATGTGAACTACAATCTAGACTTCTAGATTCCCCTGTCTAAAAACCACTTTTATACTCCCCTACATAACCCCTTTTAAGGAGTTTAGAATATAGCAATACTATAGCACATGTGGGCTTAGAGGCCCTCAGCATTAGCTTTGCCAACCAACCAAGGCACCCTCCAGAAGCACGTTCGCAACCGTCACAATGTCCAGGCCCACCAGCCCAACATCGAAAAGCAGCCAGGATCGTAGGTAGCTGAGCGAGGAAGTTTTGTTTGGCTTGTGGAGTTGGGGAATTGGTCAGCAAGAGTTCGGGCCATTAGAGAAAGGCCCGAGGGTTCTGTTTGTGAGGGCCTGGGTTCAGTGCAAGAGATCATGGAGCACGCTTGTTGTAGTCATAAAATGGCTGCAGCTGCAGACATGAATCTGCACGCGTGCAGAAATTGGTGAGCAACTTGGGTGGGCTGAGCACTGGCGTAAAACACATTCAACTACTCGTGGGATACACGCCAACGTGTTGTCCTGAAGTGCGCAGCTTGGGTAGTTTGTCGAAGTGAGAATTGTTGGAGGCTGCTTTCGAGCCTGGAACTCTTGAGGGGATTCATACGAACTCGCTTGCCCAAGTCCCCAACACAAGGCAAATTGAATTGAAGCACTACTTTCATGCTCTGTTCTTGTACAATTCCCGGTCTGCAGTTGACCCCAGGACAAGCACAATGCACATCCATTCCGATCCAGTTCGACAAAGCATGGCGATCGATGCTTCAAGACAACATTCAGCTGCAGCACTGAATCACAGCGACTCACGTCTGCAAAGTTCTTTTGTATGTACATTCTTGTTACATTTAGGTTGCGACTATAAGACGACCTTGGCAATTGACAAAAGTGCATCCAAGTAGCTGCCAACAAATCACGCTGTGCGTGAAAACGAGCTGGCCTTTGTCAAACACCTCACGGGCAATGCCACAGGGAACGCAGAACGTCAGTTTCAGTCGTTCAAATGGATGGAACGGCCCGCAAGTGTTCAGAGTGTGCGCTTACATCCATGCTAGTGCTCGCCATGCATAAGCAAAACAGATAACAACATGAAACTCGCAGATGCGAAAGAGAGGCGCGCCAATATATACTACCAACTAAACCACAAACACAACGCCATACCAAATAAAGACCCGAGAGAGAGAGAGAGCAACAGAGATAGTCTGACCAGCACACGCTGCACAAACGAGCTCAGCGAACGAGAGAAGCCGACACGCTGCATCAGCAGCCGCATGAGACGAAGGCATGAACAAGAGCAAGGGCCAGAGACAGCTTTAAAGAATCTAGATCCACGTCATCCGCGCGTCCAGTTGTCACAATGAATGACAGGCCATCAGAATGCAAGGCACGGCTGTATTGAGATTGATGACGATATCTGCAGTCCAAAAGAGCAAGCTGAACGCGAAGATCCCGAAATTCACCCAGCTCCACGCATCGGTCGTGTCCTTTTCAGGGCGGGCTTGCAGTCTCGCAATTGAGGTTCGGCGGCGCAGTTTGATCTGCACTTTGTGTCCTTCTGCAAGTCCCATGCCAGCGAAAGCGGCAGCAACGTTGTGTCCACAATGAGAACTAGGGAGCTCACGATGTCCTGGGCAAGTTGGAAGTAGACAGCCGATGACAGCCGTATCTTAATTAACTGCTACCTGTAGTTAACGTGAGCGGGCCGTGAACATCAGGCCCATGGCTTCGCTGAAAGGCTTTGCGTAAGCATTACTTCAGCACATGCTGGCAAAACATGTTAGCATGACATAGAGGAGGCTTTATGAGCAGGAAATAATGGGAAAGCGCTATAACATACTGTAATTCTGATGCCTCTGCCTTCTCATCAGCCGCAAAGCACTTGGAAGCCCAGCTTTGAAAGCTGAAATGCGAAGTATCAGAGTAACCCCCAACAGAATCAAATCATTGCCCGCGCGACCCATGTGATTCGCTTTGCGCCGTTCGGATGGAGTCGGCTCTTGAGGTCCGTATCATAGGTCCTCTCCTTGGGCAGGCAAATGGCAGGACCTACACTACTTCCGCGGACGCGGCTTGTGTCTGCATCTGGCTTTTATGCTATGCGGCATGACATAGGAGCACACCGGAGCACGGATATCAGAAACAGAATTCTCTCAATTTGCAAAACAGCTACATCAGGCTGCAGTATTTCGCTTTGCGCTATTTCTTGCAGCTGCCCCGATGCACATGCTGCCGCGCACGACTTCTTTACAAGTGTTCTAGGTTGGCAACAGTTGCCATGCCCACATCTTGCCAGGCACTGAGCAAATCGGCTCCAATGAAAAATACCACCGAGCATTCCGCTACTATGACTGCGCCCTGACAGGAAACTGGCTTAAGCTACATGACTAAATCCATTCCAAAACTGCCAGGTCTCCGATTCGAACGTGACCCTCTTGCTGAGGTACTGCGTTGGACTAGCTGAGCGTATGTTGGTCCTTTGGCAATCCAAAATTCGAGCATACAATGCCTGCAAGTTGTGAAGCTAAGAGGGCCCGCACCGCATACTCCTGCTTCTACTACCAGAGCGCTGGAACGCTTTCTCGCGAAGTGGACTTCAACAACGTTCTCTGTGCTGGCTCGGGCACCGAAAATGCTCAAGCATGGTTCCTTCGTTTTTCAAGCTCTTAAACCAAGGTGACGCTTGTTCCAAGTCAGTTGCAGACTGAACTTCCATGAAGCATCTGGCGTCTAAAACCTTCAGACTCGGCGGGATACGCAAAAAACACAACCTGCAACTGCTACAGTAATGGAAGACTTTGGGAGACCACACTGGGCCCTGCAGGCCCTAGGCGGTGTGGACACAGTCGAATCAAGATGAGTTCTGTCATGTTCCCCCGCCCGCCTCGCCCTCCCTGAATAGGAAAGGCTGCTCATGGCTGCAATTCTTTGCAGACTTCGGGAGTATTTTCTCTACTGTTCCGCTGGCAGCATGTATGTCGGCCCTGTCAATTTCTTGCATTTTCCATCCCGGCTCTGGCTGTCCTGAGCTCGCTCATGGCGGTATAGGGGTCGCACTGCATCGAAAGCCTTCGAGCTGACAGGACTGGAAAAGCTCACATCATGCCTGAATAGGCTTTGTCTTACAAAAATCCCGAATAAGTGAGTTTGTCGAATTTGCTCGAAGTAAGCTTACCATTGTCAAAGGCACCGGCCGCTACTGTAGTTGGCATCTCAAAGAATGCGCCGCTGACTCTTTTGCGCAGCTGTACCCTATTGAAGCCGACACCAACGATCTTGTCCCCTCTTACAATCTGCGACCACCTTTGTAAGCCTTGCATGACAAGCAGCTGAAGCCATCGGTTGTGCAGGCGCAATTCGTTTTGTCTTTGGATTGAGCTCATTGGACCTGGTGGCTTTGGAAGCATCCAAGATTTTGTGGTCATGATTTTGCCGTATGCTAGGCAACAAAGCTGTGATTCCTCCTGTTTCCTTAACCAAGCACGATGCTACCACAGCTCAGCGTCAAGTCGGGCAATGCAGCTCAATGTAAAAACCCAAGAAGAAAAACTCTCTCAATGCCCCGCATCTGCAGCCCAGGCGCCCAAGGGCAAATATTTCAAGTTATCCTGAGCGCGGCAGGAGTGCTAGGCCTGTGCTTCTGAGCGCTCTTTCATGAAATCTTACGGGTCGTTCATTCCAGTGACCTGGGCTGTAGTACTCCCTCCAAAATTTCTCCGAGCTGCTCTCTTCTCTTCTCGTTTTTGCCGGTGCTCCTGCAAACCAAGCAAAACATGAAACTGGGCCTCTTGCTGGAAGATGGGGAAATGCACATTTTGATGACAGCAAACCCTGCGTTCGAGGCCCTCGGCCTGAAGTGCGGTGGGCTCTTGGGCCTTGGCCACCTGACAGGCGACAAGCACCGGAATCATCTGTTGCTGCTTGAACCCCTGCTGCTTGTCAGTATTCGTACTCTCAACGTGCTGTGCTTGCTGTTCTGACTTGAAATTTCCCGGCAGCAGAACACATTCCCATGATGTCAGCAATCAGAGCTTACTCGCCTCACGAATGAGAGGCCAAGCGGCGATTCGGGTCTTGTGCCTGGGAAATGCATGTCATGCCCGAAGTACAGGCCTCCTTGGAAGTCGTCGGGTCATGGTCGTAGATGGGGAAAAGCCGACTGATGCTGCGAGACCCAGAGATTGTGTCGGCCTGCATTCCATGGTTTGTGAACCGCAAATGGACTTGCTTCAGGCAGCAGGTGCTCGCTCTGCCAAACCCTCCAGCACACGACAAGGGATGCTGAATGAAAAGGTAGAACGGACTCGCCAGCAAGACACTATTTGCTCCATCGGCCTCACCGAATGTGTTCCGTGAGCTGGTATACTCATCAACTGCCTGCACAAGCGGAGATTGCAACAAAGGACATGCCGCAGGCTCTATCTGCACATCCTCTTCATTAGTGCTCGAGAGGTAAGTTTGCCTTTGAAGAATCCGTACTGGACTTAGTACAACAATCGCAGCCACCATCAGCCACCCATCAGCGGCGATAGATCTAACACAATTAGCGCTCCACCCACATGGCCGTGGCAAAGGGGATTGTGCCTTTTACTATGGAACGACATGCATCTGGCGGTGTTTCACATGCCGTGGCATGTGAATTGCGTCACCTGCACCATGTTGATATGCCACAGTGCCGTTGTCAGTGATTGATTGAATGGGCTGAAGTGGGGAGGTCTTGCTTCCCCAAACTTCAGAGGCATGTGCCAGATCAGCTTGATGAGAAAAAGTCCAAGGTTTAGAGCCTGCTGTTGCGTCTGCATGGTAAATTCCACGTCATCCAGCTTCTCCCTCAACTTGTCCACGAAGCCCTCCTTGGTAACAAGTGAGGTAGTGTATGCCAGATCTTAGAAAGCACACCTCTGCTGACGTGGTCCCCTAATTGGAGGAGTTTGGGACAGGGAAATCACGCGAACTAACATGATATGCGCTGGCAACTTCTGCACATTAAGCAAGCATCAAACTCGACTCTGAAAGCCGCCACCGCATCTGCGGGAGACTGGTTTCCTGATGGCCAGGGTTGTCAGAGTTGTAGTTCTTGGGGTCTGGAGTCTACGGACCGGATGGGCCATCCAAACAACATTTGCATGGGGTAATGTATGTGAATGGGTTCACCAGTGCTGAAAGAAGTTATCACTCTCAAGGTAGTAGAGGCGTGGCCCTGTCTGCAATATGCCTTTACTCCAGCCCGAGGCTGCCCCAGCTCGACTCTGCATGTTGCCGGAATGTTCACAACAGTAGCAATCTGGACTTTAACAATAATAACGAGATGAACATATACTAAGAATAATGATGCTAGTAGACAATCCGGGGGTGCAACGGTGTACCACCCAGCCAAAAGCGCCCAAAGCCCTCAACATCAGCACAGGCGCCTGGTATGCAGGAGCCCGAGGATTCTCGAGAGGCCTGTGACATCTGCACCTCGTTTTGTCAGGCTATCGCAACGTGCTGAGAACCTGCCATCAGAAACTTAGATGAGTTTCAACTGTCAAGACTGCGGCTGACTGCTTCTTAGACGTAGCTCTGACGTAGGATTCGGGGGGCTTGGACTGACCAAATGCCCAGATGCCAGTTGCGTCAAGGCGCAGCTCGACTCTGCAAAGCCACCAGTTGCGGCAAGGGCAAGGGTTGCTAGGGTTACTGGCTCGTCGTCACCTTGAGCCTTAGCAGCTACTTGTGGATCCATTGCCAGATACACAAGTGACCAGAAGTAAGCAAAATCTGGGAGACCATAGCAGCTACGGGCAGCATCATCATCAGCGCACTTTTTGGCCGCGGCTCTAGTCTTGAGGCCACTGACGTCCCAAAAGCATACCGAATCTACATCCTTCGTACCTCTGCCTCAGTCATCCTTCAACGAACCCGTACCTCCATCACAGAAATCGCAATGAGCCTCTGAGCCTTGAGCGGAAGCCCTTGTGGGCCTAAAGCCTGGTGCTCAAACCGGCTGGACGAACATCTGAGCGGTTGCTGGGTCCCTCACTGAATAAGGCCCTGGAGATTGCGTAGATCTGTTGCATGCAGGTGTATTCTGCTGAGATTTATCATGAGGCTTATTCGCTGAGAGCTCCCTCTAACCTTTAAAGCTTCGTTTGCAAAAAGTTGCCTTGGCGCTGCGCTGCCCCCTTGTTGGGTGCTGCGAGGGCTGTCGTTGCAGAATGCTGGTGGGTCTGCACAAGGTTCACGTCGTAGAACCAACGTGTACGTGCGCAATCAGAATTGCAAACCACCATCGGTTGCAAGCCGGATCAGAACTTTGTCATCATCGACGTCAACTTTTCGGATGTTGGCACCATCCTCACCAAGAATACTGCATCAAACCATGGCAGTCCAACAACCGATTCAATAGTATCAGGACGCACTAGGGGTAGGGGATGAGGATGGGCTTGACTCACAGCAGGTTGGCGACGCAGCGCTATAGTAGGTCCTCTGCGCATTTTTCTACCGCAAAGCTTTAGTGAACCGAAGTTTCAGTCCCCAACTGGCCCAATAGAGGAATCTGGAGCTCGCAAGATCTCAAAAGTTCCTGCGGGTAAGCCAGAACATGGCTCCTGGCGAAGACTAGAAGTATGAGCTGATAGTGCCAAGCCTTTCCTGCGGCCTACGGTAGTACTAATATCACTCCAGTGCCCTTCACAATTTCACCCGTGCAATCTCAGGCTCAGGCCTGGATAGCATCATTTGCTGCCTGCCAGCGGAATTCTTAGCTTGGGGAACTATACAGCCAGGGTCAAGAAGAAACACAAAACTGCATCTGTTCAGCATCTTTGTCTCAAAGCTGCTTTGTATGGGAGAATCCTGCCCTCTTCTACCATGGCTGCTTGAAATAATGCCACCTACTACAATTGTCTACAACGATGCTGGAACGTTTGCTCAGGGGTTAGACCGGTAAATAGCCCCTGACACTGCATCTCCGGTTCTGGCCTCAGACTTTGCCAGAAAAATCTCGTGGGTTTTCAGGTGAAGGTGAACGAATTAATTAATGGATAAAATCTTAGGCCCAACTCGACATGCCCACACCGCTCTTATGACATCAGTTGCAGAAGCTTCCTGAGAATGGCTGCATGACGGCGTGAACTGAAATCCAGCCCCGCCACACGCTTTCATTCCGAACTGACGGTCGTCTCTACTGCGACCGCACGGTAATCTCCATAACGACCTGAGGGTTGTCCCTACTACGACCTGACGATCTTCCGATAGAATCCTGGAGCCCAACCTCCGAATTAAAGAAGAAGACCACTGCGTCTAGACCCCTGGAGTTTCATCCAAGCAGAACCAGGATCCATTGGGGAATGCCACTATACTTTCCCGAAATCCGTCCAGTCACCTCCAAGGCCACATCTACGGCAAGGCGCTCCTTCCTTGAGTACACAGAAGGGTCTTGACAAGGTTGGATATGGCCAGGAAACATGTGAGACTCAGATTCAGATTCCTAAGCAGCTAGGCTTCGTGAAGTGGGCGAACCTAGCGGCCATAGCTTTGAGTGAAGGATGTGTGTGAACTCCATCAGCAAACCAGCTCTATGAGAAAAAACTTAAGCATACCATAACTGCGGAGGCTTTTCGAGGTGGTCATTTGTTGGCAGGCCCTAGTTGTGAGTGTGATGCATCACAGAAGACCCCCAAGCTTGCCATTGGTTATGCTTTCCCCAGCAAGCGTCTCCGAGGTGGTCATGGATGCGCATGTTTGGATCTTGCCAACCAGCTTTCCTTAGAGTTGAAGAGTTGCAGTAGCATTTGAAGGGCAGCGATCCGCCATCAGATGCTCTGCCAAGCAGCGGCGGCTTTGAAAGGTGAGCCACACAGGCGTCGGTTTCAGTGTCACTTCAGCTTTGGCTTCGGTCTTCGGCTTGAAGGCCTTTGCGCATTGACTCCGGCCAAGTCTCATAAAAGAGGTAAATCATCGCAACAAGGCGCAGCTGCCTGTCTTCCTGCTATTGTTATATTTGCTACCGCCCCTGCAGTAACCCAGGACCCTTTTCCGATCTGCGGCCAGCCTGGGCCAACTGCAAAGATGTCGCATAATCCTTGTCAAGAATTGCAGCTGGGGAGAATCTGTAGAATCTCTCGGCAAACATCCTACTCTTATAAAGGTGCTTGGACGTGAGACTCCTGGCTGAGATATCTTTGCATGGGCTCCCAGACAGCGGACGGGCTCACATGTGCGAACACCAACCCACATCAGACGAGAGGCAACCACAGTGAAGCCCTTTCGAGCCAGCGTGGCCCTGCAAAGTTACCCGAATCCATGAGGGGTCTTACGCGCTGCCCAGACGTGTCATGTCATAACTGCGCATCCTTCATTGATGCACATACCTAACAACTGCGTTTTGCGTGCAGCCGCGTGCCTCCGGTCCGTCTGCCCGTACCTAGGCCCAAGCGAGGAAACGATTGCGTGAGGGCTCGTGTCAACTGCTGCCCTTCTGTTCGCAAGGCCGCAAGGAAATGTAATCTGCCAGCAGCATACGTGCCACCTGGGGACTGCTCTTCAAGGTATGCGGCCTGAAGGGCGTTCACCTCAAACTTCTCCTCACGCAAAACACTCAAGAACGGACTGCCGGGTGACACTGATGGCTTGCAGCTAGCAAATCTAGCAATGGCAAAGCTGCAGATGTGTTTTTACAGCAAATGCCAACTAGGCCATCTTCCCAGGCGCGCACTAAAACAGGACTGGGACCTGCCGTGCCAGCGTGCTTTCGCTCTCCAGCATGCGGTCGGGTACCCACACGGAGTAGCCTGCAAACGATATCTCATGTGGGACCTGCACAGCCTGCAAGCCTCGGAAAGGTTTTCGTCCGCCACGTAGGGCAGAAATAACTGTCGAGCACTCTAACTTGACATTCTTGTAAGGCCTGCTCTTTTGCACTAGGCCCTGCTCCGTGAGAAGCTTTCTAGCCTAAGCAGCCCAAACGGCCCGAACACAACCTGCGGTTGAATTGCCATTTGGCGATTCTCATGGGCCCGTTGTTGGCCTTCGACTCGCCTGCTACGGCAGCCCTCCCGTCATTTGGGCAAACCCTGAATCATCACGCATTTCTTTCATGCTGCGTTCTTAGCATGATCCAGAACGCCCACAAATAATTGCTGTCAAACACCCTGTCAATATCTACCAGAACTGTGGGCCTGAAGTCTGGTCCCCGCCAGCCGCACCTCCAAAGCACAGCCAACTCTCACATCGTCGTGTTCAGACTATTTGGACACTTTTGTTGCCAGGGTGGCGGTGGGGCTTGCATACGCTCATTCGCGCCAGTTTCTTCTGCAAAGGCACAATACAAAGCCTCAGCTATAGTTTCTTGTCATTGTTCGGTTTCTTTGCATCTGGTTCTCCATTGGGAGGGTGCTCATGTAATTTACGTAATCCGAATTGGAACGTGGTTTCCACGCCGAGGTAGGCTGGCATGCAGAGCCAAGCCTAGGGATATGTAGGGATCTATAGGGGTTAAGGCGGTTAAGGAACCACGGAGAATGAGTGGTTTGCGAGCCAGCTCTTGCTGTGTCTTGGAGTCTGGCAGCGGCTTGGAGTTTGAAAGGGCGTTTAGCACCTGGGCTTACATACACAATCTGAAAAGTACCTCAAGCATCATTAGTTCTTGCAAGCCGTGCGAAGCAAAATTGGACACCTACAAACAATCACATGGAACAACATGCCCTTAGACGCGCTCAAAACAGGAAAGTATACATGTTCTATGTGCAAGCGGCTGCGCAAGCTGCAAGAGACGACGTTGAGAGATTTCGGGAGCACATTCAGGGTGGGGGCAGATGTTGACCTATGCGACTTTCATGGAAACGGCACACTTCCTACAGAAGGAAGCAAAGATTTTCAAGAGCATTCCTTCTAACCAGCATAAACCAAGTCAAGTTCATACCTCTTCATTGGCACATTGAACTTCTGACCCTGACTCGCCCTGGCAGCCTTTGTTGTTTCACGTATAGAAAAAGGGCTTGGCTCGCTCAACTTTCAGAAGGACCTGTGAGCAACCACCGTGTTTTGAGGGCTCAAAATTGCACCTTTTCGGCCGCGGTCTGCACCTTGGGGCAAGGGAAAAGCGACGCATACACAGGGAAAGGCAAAATACCTGATGCACTCTGCAACATCCTTACTAGTTTTACTAGCCGGATCGAAGCTGCGTCAAACTTGGTTGCTTGTTTTGCGCTCTCTTTGAAAAGGTCACTCAGCCTACTTGGTGTAGACATGGTGCAGAGCAGTCCCAGATGCTCAAACCCATTGCAGGATCCCGAGAGAAAAAACTACAGCTTGATAACCAACGGCTTATCCAGCCAAGGCACCGCCTTTTTGCTTGGTTTTGCCCTTGCCCTTGCCCTTACCCTTTGAAGGTCTCGGCTTCTGATCCTCCTCCTATCGGCACAGACAGGATGCCTGCAAGAAACGCTTGCCTCTCTTCCTACTGCGACCGAAACTACCAGGTGATCAGCGGCGGGTCTAGTTAGGCTCTGCAGACAGTCCTCCTTTGATGCCGGTGGCAGCATTGAGCCTTAGTTCGAAGCTTGAAACTTGCGTGCCGTACATCCCTGGACTCTCGGCTTCCCAGCAAAGTGAATTAGACTGATGCGAAACAGGTCGTACCTAGCAATGCAAGGCAAGAATGACACCGAAACTCTAGGTGCCCACAGGAATTGAATATGTTGGCTGTTAGCTCCGGATGCTCCTGCAGCTGAGCTGGTTCATATTTAAGTTGCTATTACTAATTAAAGTGCTAAGTGCAGCCAGTGAAGCAGCTGAAACGGTCTTGGCCTTTGTGGTCTTTGCCGCGGTAGCCACATATTCGAAACCTCGAGTTTTGTACTCCGCTGAGGTCGGGTGCATGTCCAAGAGGGCCACGAGAACTTAGAGAACTTGCAAACCTGTGAATCTGTGGCCAAGGCCCCCTGGTGAACACCCCTGAGAAGCACATCCGTTTTCTGGAAAGTAAGCATGTTGTGAACCAGACTGTTGTGGCCAGGCATGGCGGCGACAAAGCTAAGCTTCAACATGCCCAAGGTCCTAAACCCCAAACCTTAGCCTCTTTTCTGGCGCACATAGCACTTTCACCTCCAGTCATTCCGCGAAACATAATCGGTTTTAAAGTTACTCCTTTCTACGTTTTTTTCGAAGGAATTTGAAGGGCATCCTGGCCATTGCGGGGTGACAGGGCCCAGGCTGCACGGAGCTGCCCACATCCAGGTCTGGAGTTCCATTGAGGAGCCTCAGCCACTGCAAGTCCTACGGCCAAAGCTACGATGTGATCTTGCAATACCTGATGTGCAGAAAGACAAGCTGGAGTCATCGAGCAAGCCCGAGCAACAGCGTATCTGGGATGTAGCCCAGGGGAATCATCATCCTCAACTCCTGGGATCAAGGGGCAGACTGTTAGACCTTCTAAGTGTAAGATCTATGGAACCTTCCCCCAACAATCCAAGCACAAATGCTTACAGCCATCGTTGAAGCTTGGAGGGCGGGGAGGCTGGATACATCGGCTACCGTGCTCCGGGTGATGGTCGGAATGCGAACCATACGCCAATTGGACAGGCAAGCGGCATGCACGCTGTCCACGAAGACGCCAAAGTTCTTCCTCAAGAAGCTGAAAGGAAAGCTTTTGCATTTTTCCAGAAACCGGATGTCAGGCTCTGGCCCAAAAATGATGCAAACAAACTCTGGGGCTTTGAGGTAAAGGCCAATGAATTTGAAGATAAAATCTACGGCCTGACCCCGTGAATATACCCACACATCTCCACATTCAAGGAGTTGCCAAGCTTGCTAAGAATGGTAGGACCGAACTAAGAAATAAGCCCAACCAAATCCTTTCATGCCCCATTATTCCGACCTGACGGTCGTCTCTATTGTGACCTGACGATCGTCCGATAGCATCCTGGAGCCCAACGTCTTCCTAACAAGGGAAGAACACTCGATGAAATGAAAGTCTGCGTCTAGACCCGTGGATTTTGATCCGTGCAGAAACAGGGGCTATCTTGCCGGCTGCCGAAGTAGGCGGCGTGCGGCATAAGTGAGCCGGCTTACTATGTAGGAGCAGCACTTCCCAGGATTTTGTTGCTGTGGCATCTACTGGATTGTGCCCGAGAAGACAGTTGCGAATTGTTGTGCCCAAAGCGGGGACAATCACCCACCTGCATCCAAGGAGCACAGACACCACCGTCCCGTCCAGCCACTCTTCTGGGTTGTAGGCCCTTCGTAGCCTTACGGCGATGGCTGGCAACAAATTGCGCAACGGGGCAGAGTCCATCACCGACTTTGGACGTGTACTGCCCAAGTACACAGAACGACATGTGGTGCATAAAGCCATGTGCGTAAAAAAAATGTAAAAACTTAGCAAGGCGGGTGAAGGGTGGCACTCCTTGTTGTTTTTGCGATTGTTCAGGATTCTTGCAGCCAGGGTGCAACTAAAGGGCTCTACAACCTTTTGTGCAAACATACAGGCCACACGTTTTGTACTATGATGAATTAGGCATCAGCCCTTTTCCTTATAGACCTAGGATTCAAGTGGTAAAGCTTTCCGGAACGTGCAAGTTACATGGGCGCAAACCCTCACATGGGGACTATAAGGGGTTATGACAAGGAATTAAGCCAAGTGACTGTTCGATCTTCCTTTCCCTTTCTCGGGTGCCGCGCTCAGCCTTTCGCTGCTGCCATCTGCCTGCTTTACAAACAATACACATAGGAGGTTATAGCATCTACAAACGATATCATATGCACTGTGTACGCCTGCATCTCGATATCATGGAAATGTGTGTATATATATATACACATATGAATATACATCTGTTTATGCTTATTTTGTTCAAATATGCTGTTCCAGGCTTGGCTTAGCAGACTCCCTCTGGCTCGGAACCATCAGCAACATCTGCATTTGGTCAGAAACCAGGACTGCAGGAACATTCTCAGGTTCTCAGTCTGCCTCTGCGTCCTCACTTGCTGGAAATGCGGCTAATGAGGAGGGCAGCTCTTGTCCACAACGGCTGAACTGTTGTATTGCAACCAGGCCACGGAATGCACCATCCTGATCTTCGTCATCTTCAGCATTCCACATGGAAGCAATTGGAAGACCAGTATGTTGGCGGCCTGGGCTGGCGTGGATCAACTGCCTCTTTGCACACCAATCGACCAACTTGACCCTTGGTCAAACCTGTGCAGGCGAAGCAACAGCAACAACATCAGCCGAGCACAACAGCTGACTCAGAAACTACAGCAGAAATTTCTACGGGTGTAAATAGCCAGCCAGCATGTGGAGCCTCCATAACAACCCAAATCAACACCCATAGCTAGCATGTGTCACCATGTGTAACTACGCAAGCTTCTGTCACTCCCAGGGCATGCAGCGTTTTTGCACGTGGCTGGGGTTGATCGCCGGTATGCTTTCGGCATTCGAAGGTCTTACTCAGGGTTAGTGGGGAGTACGGGAATTTAATCACTACAAAAATGTGTAATCCCTGTTTAATATTTTCCCGTATTTCTTACAGTACTAACCCTAAACCCGAAAGCCTGAACCCTAAACCCTGAAACTTATTTACATATACATATATATACATGTACATGTATATATATACACATATATTTAATACATGTGTATATATATATATATGTGTGTGTATATCCTGTGTGGCCAAGAGACTTGCGTCCAAACGCACCTTGATTGGCTTGCGGAGCGCTTCGCACAGCTCCACCTGGCTGGGCTATACCGGGACTTATGAGATTTCTATAGGGGACGTATAGGATTTCTTAGGGATTGTGTGGGGGGTTATGTTGGGATAATGGAAAAGAAAATAGAAACTACTGCAGTAAATTGAGGTATATCTTGGGACATTAGGGTCTTATATGGCTGATGCACATAGAGAAGCCTAGAGGTGAAAGGCGCGAGTCCTGTGGGTTGCCTGTGAAGTCTTACGCTTGATTTCATGCATGTCTTCAACTTCAAGCCCTTACCAGAAAGAGAATGCTAGATGGCCATGGAAAAAGTTGACATCAACGCCGAGCATTGCACCCAGTAAGTGTGTCCAGCGTGCTAGGCGAAAATTAGACAGGCCTCGCCGCGTCCGGGGCAAAATCGAATCTTCTCCTTGGACTCTGCTCTCTGCTCAGGTTCTCTTTGAGACCACTGGGAAACCCTCAAAGCCCTAACTGCGACACCAGGAGGACAGAGGAGCAAAACTGGGGTTTATCAGTGTGGTACAACGGGAAACTTCTCATTGACTCCGCTTTTCGTTTGAACCATGGAACATGCGGAAGCCAAGCTTTGTCTTCGCTGCCGGACAGTTTGATGATGGCTCCTGGCATGATCATCGCTTGTGAAGTGACATGCTGGGACCTGCTAAGAATCCAGCTGTGTGTTCCAAGGTTGGCGCAAATCAGCATTGCGTGCACTTGAGTCCTTGCCCATTCCGGACGACCAGCGCTTTGGCAAGGTGCCAAATGTCATTGTGCTTCTCAGTTTCCTCAAAGAAAGAAGCATCTGGGTTAACAGCTCACACCCTATCACCACTTTGTTGCTCAGCGCAGTGATCCCTATGTCACTAGGCCGGGGGAGGCCTTCGGGCAGATGTGATATCTTTTTTTGCCGTCGCCTCTATTAGAGACACTCACCCTCCTAATCTGGAATCATTTTCTTCAATAACTCCGGTCCCCGAAGCTGCAAGGCTCTTGAGGAATCTGCAAATGAGTGTTTCTGCCTGCCTCATGAATCCAAGCCGAGCTACGCTGGGCCGGGTTTCCTCCGCCCCCTCGCTGGCCTCATCATCATCTTGCGAGTCTGCCCTTGGCCAGCCGAGTCTGCCGGAGGGGATGTTGCTTTGCTGTGGGTTCTGGTTTAACAGAGTTTCTATTCTTCCTCCCGCGTTGTGCATCTTCAATACTTGCTCTTTGAGTTTAATCTACCAAGTATCTGCACCACATGCTGGACAAGGATAATACCGGGCATGGGAAAGGCAAAGATTTCAAGACAGCATGCAGCATGACGATCCATGACGCAAAGCCAACATTCTGTCAGGGAGCTTGAATACGAGCAAGTCTTACTCATCTTACAAATTCCAAGGGGAGCCATTCGCGGCCACTTTAATGAATAAATAAGCCAGAACCCTACGCAATCTGAGCCCATACCTCCGCCTCTGCAAAACTTAAGGATCCCACCACAGCTCGCCAGCCATGGCTTGGGCGCGAAGCACTGGGATAATTTCAAAATTCTAAAATGGCCCGGGGGGGGTAAGATGTGTTTAACCATGATCTCCATATTGAGCAGCGCAGTTGGAACCAAACACAGTATCTCACTAGTCCGTCTGTAGCTGTGGTTGAGACTTGCTGGCTACTTTAAGTACAAATGTATGGCGCTGCTGCACCATCAGAGCAAGCTCTCTGAGTATTGCAATTTGCTTGCTCGAGGTCAAGCGTGGCAACATGCCTGTTGAGCCAAAAGCACGACAGAGGGAGCCCAAGCAAAAACCGGCTGCTGGAATGGCCACTAGAGACACACGGGCCAAGCAGAAAACCTGGTGAAGCCCTTGTGGAAACTGTCTGATGACAGAGTTCCCCACTGTGACTTTGCATGCCCTTGGAGCTAGTTTTATGCAAGTAGATTCTTTGGCAGAAGGAAGCCTGGATCAGAAGCCATGTCAGAATCAGCACGCGTGAGCTCAACCATGACAATGTCAGCTCAACTAAGTTGCCAAATCTCAGAAACAAACAGAAAAGAAACAACAACTGAGTCCTTGAAGTCGACAGCAGAAATCAAGCTCCAATGTTGGCTGAAGTCTTTTCCTCTGGCCCTCTCGGCTCCGGCCGTCTTGGGAACACATCTAAGCACGTTCTGGCCAAGTCTGAGCAACCCAAGCGCTATGGACACGTAAAGCTAGCAATCTTTGGTGTGAAGCTGTGAAGCTGTGGGGTGTTGCTTTCGGATCAATACCTTTGCCATGGGAATTCAGAAAGCCTCTGTTTCACAAGTCGCGCTTCCAGGTTCGAAGCAATGTTTATCTTTCAAAGCTTTAGTAGCAGCTGTCACATGTGTGAAAAAAAGGTGCCAGATCTTCTGCCACATACTGTTGGATCCCGAATAGCACGTGAGGGTGCAAGAAAGTAAAGCTTTCAGACAATTGTACTATGGACGCCCTACTCGACTTTGGAGGGTGCCAATTATTCAGTGTTTTCTGCCGGAAAATTCTGGGCAAAGTTAATGATGAAGCCAGCAGGCTATGGGTGTTAAAAGCCAGGTCTTTCAATGAAGGCCGGCCTCCATCAATCTTTTATGCAACCCCGTGGGTGAGACCAAAATCTACGTTTTTTCCAGACCAGGCCTTTCGTCTGGAATCTGATGTCACCAAAAACTATCGATTTCTTATGGAATCGCTTATTCGGTCAGGCCCGACTGATCTAGCTACTCCGTTCTCGTCCCTCTCTCATGATTTTCCGTAAGAATTTGCTAGAAGCTGAATGATCTCCTTTCCCTTGTGGATTATAGTAATGCTAACCTCCCAATGAAGAATCCCCCTCCAAATCGTGTTTTGCGTTTTTGGTTTACGGAAGGTGGGGCGTCGCAATAATAAACCACTGCGGCGGGGGTCGTACCAAGTAGTACAAGGAGTAGTAAAAGTAGTAGTAAAGTAGAGTAGAGTCGAGTAGAGCAGAGCAGAGTAAAGCAGAAACCGCATAGCAGAGTATCGTATAGCAGAGTCTAGTAGAGTATATATAGTATAGTATAGTGAAATAGAGTAGAGTAGAGTAGAGTATTTTTGAGTAGTGTGTAGTATAGTAGAGTAGAGGATAGCCGAGTAGAGTATAGTGTAGTGTAGTATAGAAGAGTAGAGCAGAGAGGAGTAGAGTACAGTGTGTATACTATAGTAAAGTACAGTATAGTACACATAACCTAGGAGAGTAGAGTAGACTGTAGACTAGAGTAGAGTATGGTGTACTGTAGCTTGGAATTAATTTGAGTAAGCGGCTAACAAGAAATCCTCTACTGAGATTCAAGGTTCCGGGCTTCTACAGTATTGAGATTCCAAGCTTACCATATAAAGCAGAATTTTTTTTTGAAAATCAGAACTGCTCCAGAAAGCCTTTTTTAGTTGCCACCCCGTTTATGGTTGTCCTGAGAGGGCCCTGGTTAGGGGTAACCTTTGGAAGCTTCCTGGAACTTGTTTTCGAGTAAGCGAAGTCATGATGCTTGGGGTTTCCTGGGATTTCCAGGTACTGAAGGCTGAGGCTGGCAGCTTGAAGGCTTTGGGTATTCTAATGAAATTCCAAGCTTGCCTTTTAAAAAAGACAGGGCTTTATTGAGAGTGAGATCTGTAGCTTCGCACTAACGAATTTGTTTCTGAGACCTGACTCTGGTGAATATGAGTAAAAGCTCATGTGCTGTGCTGGGTCTGTTTTGCAAGCATCCAAGTCTAAGCACAATGTCAGCTCTAAAAAACTGAAATTAAGTAATTTCTGAGGGACTGTCACCCCCTGCTTGTCGCCAATGGACCTTGTTTACATCTTTTCGTGCTCCGAAGTTGTTGGAAAGCGAACGTGATCTTCCAGGATTTTTCTGGCCCGGCCGGAATGTACTATTGCCACCCGCTTCATTGAAAACAGGTTAACATTAGTTAGTAGGAGCCACAGGAACCCCCAAGCCACCATTCGTTTTCAGGACTTTTTGTCAGAGGCACCGATCGCACATTAACCACAAACTTCCTGCATGTCCTTCTTGTGTCCTTCCATACTCTCTCGATACCTCGATCTACCACTCACGATTTCCTATTCTCATTTGTAATTTTCGAAATCAATCAAGCTGGATCGTTCCACTCTGCCTTTTCACTCTACTCATGATGCGTTTGCTTAGCTTTGGATTTTGTGGCGTCTGTTCAATATTCCCAAGCAACCTCTGATAGTCACGAGATCTGTGCCTAATACTCTGCCCATGGATCGATGTTAGAACTGCCACATAATAGAACTCTCTCAACAAATCCAATGCGAGTGACAGGAGGGATGCTCTGACGGCCAATGCAAAGCTACGAGTACTTTAATTAAAGCCAAGCCAACGAATTAGCAGGTCATCATGGTGGCTGCAGCGGCTCACGGCATTCGTATGCAGTACAGCCCTACTTCGCATGCTTGTGTTGCGTCAATCGTAATGAGAGACTGTCAGCCACAAGCAATTAAGAACGTGCAGTATGAACAAATAAAGCCGGCATTTCTCACACAGCGGACACCCTGCAGAAGCTGAGTTGGATGGCATGGCCAATGATGCAGCTTCAGTATATGCCCGTGCGCACTCAAATGCAGCCAAGCTAGGGAGCACGTTCCCGCTAGGATTACCAAGACATTATGCACACAGCAAAGCTGCGCAGTCTCCAAAGCAAACTGCCACCAGCACTCTTGATTGACCAGGAGTGGAATTTCAACCCTGGATTCATCTGAAACTCTAGCACCTTAGGCTTGTACGGGGAAAGCGACCCATGCCATGCTAAGCGCTTAAAGTCAGTTTCGCTCAATCAATGTGGCGACAAATATGCCATACGCCTTCGACAAACTGGCAGCTCCAGAACGTTTCAGAATTCTTAGCGATGAGAGCCAAATCCGAATCTGTAAGCACCTCTGGACCTTCACAACTTGATCCGCCAGGGATGGGGTTTTGATGCCTGGCTCCTCAAGCCCAATCCCGCATGAAGTCATCAAGTAAAGGGATGCGTCATAAGAAACGCAAAAAACACTGTTCATGTAGTCCATAAGTGCCCCATGGCTTCATACCATGAAATGTCAACATAACATAGTTCCCACAGAATCTGCTTGCGCCGAAAAGCCTCCGGGCCCCTGTGGCAGCACCACGGATGCGCTCCACGAGACCGAGGAGTTTCGTCTCTGCGGCCTCCCCGAAATTGGATCATAATACATAGTGTGTGTGTGTACATGCAACTATATATTTATATGTTATATGTATAGAAGCTGTGGTATTGAAGACGCACGGCTAGATTCAAGACATGGGACGTACAGGGAGGCCTACACTACGGTCGAGCGTCGTGTATACCAGGCCGGTCTCAGTTTACGAGTCAGAAAGCTGGTACTCTGATATCTGCTCTGATTTCCCTTATGACAGCTGGCGCTATTTGCAGCACAAGCCATGGAAACCGGCAGCGCATGCACGCAGAGCGAACGCACAAACCTGGCCTCCGGAAAAACAAGAGTTCAATGCTGTTTCATGTTGCAGGTTTGCGCTTGAATGTGCGAATAGCGAGCGGCATATGCTGCAGCCCTGAGACTTCCCGCCAACACTACTATCACTCACTAACTCCCCAGGAGCCCAAGCAACGCCCTCCCTTTTGGTGCCTCATGGCATGTCTGATCGGTTCCTGCCTCTGCGCGCTGTGCCTGTGCGAGAGCCTGCTGTCGGGCTTCCTGGCCCGTGAGCAGCAAGAAAAAAGCTGGGCTGTCAGATGGATTCCCAAGAAACCTCAGGGAACTGCAATGCCACAACAGCTCCAAATCTCCACCAGACAGCTTGGCCCTCGCCTCAATGAGCTGCGCTTGCTGCGACGCTTCTTCTTGGGCAGCCTTGAGAGGGGTCACGGCCAAAGTGGGTCCGAATGCTGTGAAGTACAGCCTCTGAGCAGTGCTACACAATGATAAACGTGGGTTCTGTGTCCAGGAACAAGTGGCGAAGCTGTAACAAACTGGTTCGTGCCGGTCGAAAGGCCAGAGTCTAGAAGGCTGGTTAAGAATGTCAGTGCTACAATGGTTATAGGATGTTATAAGTGTGGCGAAATAATTTCGAACCCGCTTTTGCTTAGGGGTTTGGAATGATAAGATATTTCTGGAAAATTATTCAGAATCTGCAATTGTTGGGGGGGGGGAGGGGGGGGG